TTAAGGTTTCAAATAATGCCCTTGCTCCCCCTCCCCCCATTTATTTATTCTTAAAATGGCAAAGTTTCATTTATCTCTTGTCTCTGGCTGAAAGGTTTACAACTTGTGATAGGACCTATTGATGACTACTGTACCCAAACTTCCTGAAAAGTCTTGGGTAGGATTGAATAGTGCTTAGAAAGCTGAGTGTTGCATGGCTCATTCTGCTTGTCTGAACCATCCCCACCTTCATGTCTTACATAAATTGTGAACGTTTCTTGTCCTGGCTCTTTTGGTCGTAACAGGGAGGAACTAGATAGTTATCCTCTGTCGCAAGGTCCTGGTTGAGTGTGGCCTTGCAGTAATTTTGCTTTCATGTCCATAATAAAGTAGCACTGTGTGCCTTAGCAACACATCCCATGAAACATACAGTTTGGAGAGTATGAGGGTTGTAAAATTTGGTTTCCATTGTATATGCATGGACTGATAGCAGTCATGTTCCACATGCAAAGGAAGGCAAGAGAGAAATTACATTTGTTGAATGCTTTCTTGTTTCCTTTAGTCCTCACAACAGTCCTATGAGTTAGATATCATTCCCATTTTATAGATGTGGAACATAGGTGCATACATGGCTAGTCAATGGTGGACCTACATTCACACCTAGGCTGGTCAAACTCCGTAGCCAAACTCTATAGAGTTCTGCCTTCCCTAGAATCCTAAAGAATCAAGGTTATTTCTTTTTATCACAATCAAAAATCCTAATTTCTTACAGATTAAATAACCTGTTCAGGATTATCAAAGGAAATAATTAGGGAAAGGTAGTTCTTCTGTTCCAATAAGAGAAGAGAGTGGTCTATAAGTTTTATCTCCCATCAAACGATCAATTTTACACGAATATCAAATGAAGTGACATTCCTCAGTTTAACTTTGATAAATGAATCATATTCCCCTTTGAAAATAACTTTTGTAGTTCAAGCTCTAAAAAGAGAACCACCCCTACACTCGTGGAAATTATTCCTTTTAATGGCAGTAAAAACCTTTGGCTTTCATAGGCATCATCAGCAGAGATGTTAGTTCATGAACACCTGTGAGTTTCTCAAAATTAGTATCTGAAAATAATGATGGGAACAGACAAGCAGCGCTGTGTCTTTGGCACATTTAGTTGAAAACTTAAAACTCTTCATGTGGAGCTAAGCACATTGGAAGGTATTAAAAATGATCAAAGTGTACTATTCAAGGTTATATGTTTACCCTTCCAGCTGAGATGACTGCTCCTTGTAAACTTCCAGCTCACTTTTACTAGTGTTGCCTCCAGAGCCAGTTTATAAACCACACGGGCCAAATTAATATTGTTCTTTTATAGTCACACTGTGTATAGACTGAAATAACTTTTTTAAACATGATATGGTTATGATTTTGAAAATGGAATTCTAAGAGACTTTTTTCAAAATTCAAAGTGTGGCTGAGTATGGTGGCTTATACTTGTAATCCCAGCATTTGGGAGGCTAAGGCAGGAGGATTACTTGAGGCCAGGAGTTCAAGACCAGCCTGGGCAACATAGTGGGACTCTGTCTCTAAAAAAATAAAATAAAAAATTCAAAATAAATAAATAAAATAAAATAAAAAATTCAAAATCATGCTCCAAAGACATTTGGCATTATCAAGAGTATTAAAAACAATGAAAAAACAAAAACCCCAAACCTGCCCTAGATTCCACAGGGGAGATTTAGAGATGTTTTGCTCTATATCAACACTATTGAAATAAACATGTTGTCACCTAAAATGAACTATTTGAAGGTGACCACACTTAATTGGGTATTATTAATATATCCTGGTCAGTTTTTTAAAATTTATGTTTATTATTTTAAAAAATTGTGATAAAATACACATAACATAAAATTTGCCATCTTAACCATTTTTAAGTATATGCTTTAGGTAGCATTAACTACATTCACATTGTCATGCAACCATCACCACCATTCATCTTCAGAACAGTTTTCATCTTGCAAAATTGAAACTCTGTACCCGTTAAACACTAACTCCCATTTCTTCCTCCCCCCAACCCCTGGCAACCACCGTTCTGCTTTGTCTCTATGAATATGAATACTCTAGGTATCTCGTGAGGTTTTGGTTTTTTTAAAACATCGGTTGTAGTACTTTATCATTAAACTTGTTCATCATTTCTTGAAACAAACCCAATACACTTAGATTAATAGAATCTAACTAGAATTTTTTTTTTCTGAATTCTGCCTTCTTTCAAAGGAAGAAAATGACAAGATGGGTCCATATCTGTATTTTGGGTGGCATTAATGACTCAATTAGTGACCTACCTACACATTTGCAGCAATAGCCAAAGTGCTTGACAGTTTTAATTTAGGAGTACTACTATATTATCATTTATCAGAAAAATTGCATTTTGTTTAGAATACTTTGTAAGACAGGAAAAAATACCAGTGCATTTTAGAAGCATTTCAGACAAGCAGGGTTGGTACCAAGTGTTCTATTAAAGTAGAAGACAGAATATTTAATTAAAGACAATGCTTTATTCCTGTACCAGGTGGAAATAGACATTTAATGGGCCCCTTTTTCTGAGTAAGGAAGTATAATTAAAATGTTAGCTTATTTTTTTAGGATTTTATAAAAGTTTAACTCATGAGAAAAAATAATTTAAGTCATTATAATGGCTTATTAATAAATTAACTTTGTAGCATTTTTGTTCTTATCAATTCTTTTAGTGATATCTTCAAATAGAGCTTTCAACTCCCTAGCCAACCACCTGGATTTTATTAGATTTTATAGTACAATGGTCCTGCCACTCTCAAGGAACAGTTTGTTATGTACACTATCTAAGAAGTTACCTAGAAAAATGTTGGTCTTTAGAATTTCAATCCAGTCTGGGCAGAATTTTCCAGTGTACCTGGAACAACAGGTGTCTATTTAACCCTTAATGTTGCCAATTGCACATCTGCAATACAGAAGTTACAGAAAATAACACTCTAATTAAACTTATAATTAGGAATTAGAGTAGAAAAACAACATTGGATAGATGTTTGAGAAAAGGGACCTGTGATTACCTGCTTATGTGGGTGGGTAGTTTTGAGGATGGGGGTCATCACTGGAGCAGTTTGTGCCTGAGCCCATGGGCATGTCTTTGAAAATGTGTAAATTCGCTATGGTTAGTGTCCTGGTGACGTGGCCCTCCACTGGGACCATTTTGCTGAATTTGCCCTGACTTGAAATAATAATGCTGATGGCAATGCTGATGGAAAGACTAATGTGGCTCTTACGTGTCACATGCATCACCATTTTGGACTATTGTAGCCTCCATAAAAGTGACAAGCTGGATGAGAGTGATTTTCTCAATACTTAAAAAAGCTGTGAAAATAAGACAGATTTAAAGACATGAAATGTGGTTATCTATTTCCCCTCTACCTCCACCCAAGTGCAGGAGTTTGGTAACTAGAATTGCATTTAGTCATGGGGTACAGATTGCAACTTGCAAGCAGGAGGCTTAAACCCTGGGATACTGAAGGCCATGACAAATGCTCATTTTTTAAATATGTTTTTGCTTCTCGTAAAGAGACATCATGTCCAAAATGAAAAAATCTTTAGATTCAGGATTTAATAGTTCACCTCTTTTGGATTGTGTTTGACGGAAACTTGGACACAGCTGAGTATAATTGTGGTTTTGAGCAGCATGACTTATAGTGCAGATATAGGTGTACTTAGAGATATTTTAGAGGTACTTAGAGGTATTTTCTTGCCAACATCTGGCTGAGAAGGAGCTTGGTGGTGGTGGTTGTTGTTTTAAAAAAAATAGTAATTAGGCTATTAGTTGTCCAAATAGAATAATCCCCTTAAGCCTTTTCAAGAAAAAACACTTCTGAAGGGTCAAGTATATTTAAAATTAGCCATTATTTACGCAGATGCTCAACATTTTGCCCATGTTCTTAAGGAGTTGTTTCTTAAAAAAAAAAATGTTGGTTATGTCTGTCAGAAACCATCTTATTTTTTAAAGAGGGAGTTCAGTACTGGTTCTTCTAGCAAAAGCAGCCAAATCCCTGGCATCACAAAAGCCTCATCATAGATTCATCTATTTTTCATCCTAGAATGGCAGGCTCGGTGTTGTCCTGGCTACAATCTCTTCTGTATACCTGGTGAAAGACCTGCCCCCCCCCCCGCCGCCCCCCCCCCCCCCCGACCTTCCAGGCCTCTCTTTTGGAGAAAAGTTAAAAAAAAAAGTAACAAGTGTAGTGACAAAGTGGCATCAGAGCTAACAGCCTGTGGTTTCAGGGCTGGAGGCAGGCCCGTGTTGCTGTCCTCCAAGCTCCAGATTTGCCCTGCGTGGCTCTCAAAATCATAGGCTAGGGGAGAACCTGCCCACCCTGTCCCACTCAGACAGGAGGGCTTTGCTGCCACTCCAGGACACACCTCTGGGTGTGTCTTATCTCCAAGCTGGATGTTCAGCTTTCTTTCTGCTTTTGTTGGAGCTTTTTGAATCGCAAATCGGCCACATCTTACACAATGGTCATAACCTAAAGTTCTGGTCACTGCGCCTCTCCCACAGGAAGTATGACCTCTGAAAAGAGGCATAAGCATTTTTAAACATGATTCATCTGTTCATTTTTCTCTACTCTTTTATTTAATTAAGTGCCTTGGCATCTTATCTCCCTGAACCAAAGTACCCATAGGTTGCCCAGCGTTGGGGTTTCCAGTTTAGGTTTGTTCACTATTATGGAGTGTGGACATGGAATGGGAAGACCTAGCTGAGTCCTTGCCATGTGATAGCCATGATTTGATCGAAGACTCATTTTCCTGTGCCTCAACTATCAATTTCAACTGTCAGATTCCCTTCTTTTTGCCTGTATAAGGGCTGAACACATGAGATAGGGAGCCTACTAAGCAAATATAAGGGCAGGAGCGATCATTGTTGGTTGGTGGGCCCTGCATAGACACCTGATCATCATACTGTATTGTGCAGAAAATGATATTGTCTCACACTTTTATTTTTTTATTTTTTTAGAACAATAAACACCTTTATTACATGAACTAAGACAGGGGAGAGGAGGAGTTATTTGCCTTTCCGGGCCTTGATTTTCCGCAGGTAGAACTCCAGCTCCTTGCCCTCTAGCACATAGCCACCTGCTCGGCCACACTGGCCCGGTCTGGACGCAATGCATGCGAGAAGCTTGCCCTGCTGAAACTGCTCCTCCAGAAGACTGCTGATTTTAGCATTCTTTTTCCTTTCATCATATTTCTTCTGAATTTTTTTGGATCGTTTTTTGTTTAAAATTTCTTCTTCCTCAGGTGTCAGCTTGGCCCCCTTCTTGCGGCCCAGGGGCAGTGCATAGTGGGACGTGTACCACTGTCAGTACAGTGTGCTATCAATAAGCACGATGCAGTTCTTTACCAAGGTCTTGGTGTGGACCAGCTCGTTATTGGACGCATTGTAGACAACATCAATGATCCTCGTTTTCCGAGTACAACACTCTGAGCCCCAGGAGAAGTTCCCCACGTCCAGCCTCAGGGCATGGTATTTCTTGCACATGGACTTTGTGTATGGGGCAGGGGCCAATCTTTGTGTTGGCAGCGGGGCGCCGAAGCTCATACTTCCGCTTCTTGTGGTAGGGCTTTCTCTTGCCCACGGTCTTGCGGCGCTTGTTCAGTTGTCCCGAGAGATGCCCATCGCTCAGCGCTGGCTGGAAAGAGAAAACGCAAACCTCACACTTTTAAATACCTTTATTTTAGTAGGACCATCCAGTATAATATGGTTTGGGAATCTCTACTTTCCAAACGGCCTGTGGGGAAACCTTGAAGCATCCACAGAATCTGAATTTGCCCAGTGGGAATGTTGTGTCACAGTAATAAATGCTTAAAGATTAGTTTATTTCCAGCCCTGCAGGAGCTATAAATTGCTACTTTAAATTTTATTTTCTAGTACCCTGATGTTTATGTTGCTATGGTGGTGTGTCTCGTGCTTGGGTGTCAAGATTGCCATTGAAAATAGATAGGCCTAAATAACAGCCTAACAGGTGGCTGTGCTTTGTGGAGCCATTCGTAAAACTATTTGGTGGAGAAGTCCAGAGCAAGTCAATCACACGACTGTGCCCTCAACTGTGTTTTATAGTTTAGCACTTTTTAAAAACACATTCCTCCCCCTTTCCATTTTATATATAGACTTTTTTCCTCTTTCAAGCAGTGTCATGCCAATTTCCTGTAGTAACACACAAGGAAAGATTTCAGCTCATTTTATATAGCAGTGGATGTCCTTTCCTTATTTTGTGTAACTGGAGCCCTTCTTCTAAAAATAACCCTTCTTTTCCTAATGTGATTCTTATTATAGCTGATGTACTCTTTATTTAAATGAGAGACCTCTTTTTAACATGCCATTTGAACTGATATATATTTATTATACATAAATAGCTATAATATAATAAAGTGCACATATAAAATATATAATAAAAACATATCTCCCTGTAGGGTTTAATCCTTAGTGAATGTGGTAGTAGAAATTGTTCATTATGCTTTCACCTGCCAATTATGATCAATTTCTTTCTTTTGAGATAAAATCATAGAAAGAACCGGACCGTTAAACCAGTTCAACTTCCTACCCACTGGTTAGAGTCTTTCTATAATAATCATGGATGGTGATCATCTTGTCTTTTGGCTTAAATACCAGCCACAGCAGGGCGCTGGCTCTTTTGCTGCATGACCTCTAGGATTGTCAACTTTGACTCTTTAGAAGTTGCTTTCTTATGTTTAGTTGATATGTGACTCCCTGGAAGTTTCAAGATTGTTTCTCTCACTATAGTGACATAAACACAAGCCCCTTCCACATACTGACTCTTTAAATATTTAAAGAAATCTATAATCTTGTCCTTTGGTCTTCTTTACTGTGGCTTAATACGCTCAATACCTTCATCGATTCAATTTATGAAATGGTTTCAAGTCTCCTTCCCCATTCCTGTGGTTCTTCTTTCTTATTGCCCTTTAGAAAATATTGAACCCCATGCTCTAGAGAAGGGGTCAGCCGACTTTCTCTGTAAAGAGCCAGATAGAAATATTTTAGACTTGCAGGCCATAAGGTCTCTGTTGCAACTACTCAACTCTGACCTTGTAATATGAAAGCTGGCACAGACAATACATAAATGAATGTGCATGGCTGTCTTCCAGTAACTTTTTTTTTTCCTGGTGACAGGGTCTTGCTCAGACAGGGTCTCACTCTGACAGGGTCTCGCTCTGTTGCCCCGGCTAGAGTGGGCTAGAATGCAGTGGTGTCATCATAGCTCACTGCAACCTCAAACTCCTGGGCTCAAGTGATCCTCCTGCTTCAGCCTCTCAATTAGCTGGGAATATAGGCATGTGCCATGATGCCTGGCTGATGCTTTCTATTTTTAGTATTGATAGGTCTTGCTCTTACTTAGGCTGGTCTCAAACTCCTGAGCTCAAGCAATCCTCCTGCCTTGGCCTCCCAGAGTGCTAGGGTCACAGGCATGAGCCACCATGCCCAGCCTCCAATAACATTTTATTTATGGACACTGAAATTTGAATTCCATATAATTTTTAATGCTATGAAATATTCTTCTTTTGATTTTTTCCCAGCCATTTAAAAATGCAAAACCCATTTGTAGTTTTGGGGCTGTACAAAAACAGGGAGCGTGCTGGGTTTGGCCAATAGGCTGTTGTTTGCTGACCTTTGCTGTAGAGTAGGGATCGGAGGATCAGTGCTGAAATCACTGGAACTTCAGCCACTTTTGTTTGCTGTGTTGATGCTTTAGCACTAGCCTTGGCATTTTCAGAAGCCATATCAAACTGCTGACTGCTTTGGACAAGGCGGTCAACTACACTTGGACTTCTTCACATGATCTTCTGGCAAAGCTAAGTCTCTCCAACCTGTGTGTATGAGATCTACCAAAAGCAAGAGCCATACCATAAGGACAGCAGCCATAACCATAGGATTCTGAAATGTAAATGTGATGAATGGCATCTGTTGGTTTCAAGTTCAACCATTTTTTATTTCTGCTTCTGTTGTATGCTGTATTAGCCATTCCTCTTAGCTTTGTGACAGATGTAATAAGCATGCTTTTCTGTCTTTCTACAAGCCACTGACTTTTCAGTAACATCTAAATCATATTAATAAGATATAGGTCATGACTGCTTTCCTTTGTTGTAGAAACCTGTAGGTATTTGGGTACAGAAATGAAACCCTCAATTATATTAATAAGCTTAAGACTGGATTATTCCCTACTTCCTCATTAGTTTTTTGTTTTGTTTTTTTTTTTGTTTGTTTGTTTGTTTTTTTTTGAGACAGTGTCTTGCTCTGTTACCCAGGCCTAGAGTGCAGTGGTGTCAGCCTAGCTCTCTGCAACCTCAAACTCCTGGGCTCACATGATCCTCCTGTGTTAGCCTCCTGAGTAGCTGGGATTACAGGCATGTGCACCATGCCCAGCTAATTTTTCTGAGGCAGGGTCTTGCTATGTTGCTCAGACTGGTCTTGAACTCAAGTGATTCTCCCACCTCGGCCTCGCAGAATGCTAGGATTACAGGCGTGAGCCACCATGCCCATTCTTCCTTGTTAGTTTTAATTTTTAATATAAGGCTCTCATTAGATATTTTGCGAAACAGTTTAACTAAGATTAGAATTTAGCAAGCAGAGGAGAAAATTTAGAAAATGATAAAGCCAGGGTTTTTTTTTTAGTGTATAAATATTTAATTAAAATTATATATTTGTCTCTGTGGACATTAACTTAGCAAGTCTCTGCTTTTAGCAGAAGGGAAGGCACAGAAGGCCAACATTTGTGGAACTTTCTAGTATACCACACCCAATGTGTTGATCATCCTATTTCATCTTTGCAGTTATCCTCCAAGGTGGATCCTATTATCTCCACTTTACCGAGTGGAAATTGAGGCTCAGAGGAATTGCCAAAGTCACCCGGATAGTTAATGGCAGAGCTGGGTTCTAATCTGGAGCTCTTTGGGTGCAAATTCCATTTGCTTTTTCCAACACTACCATTATTTTCCATAGTCAAAGAGAAGTTGACATTTAATTCATTATCAAGTTGACTGTATCAATATACAAGTATCCTAAAATGGATATATGTTCCTGGATTATTTACTGGAATGATACATTTCTGGAGCATATATGCCAGAAAATGTGATGTAGATTAAGAATATTGACCTCTTTAGTGGAAAGGGACTGTTAATTTAAAACTACTTGCATTTGCCATTCTTTGGTAAAACTGGAAACACAGATACAATTTCAGATTACCTTTGAGCTATTATAAATCTTGAGGGAAACCTTGATTGTTTTTAGAAAGAAAGCTTCTGTGTCTGTCTAGACTGTATCTTGCAAACAGGCACTTCAAGATGTCATTATATGAATATTCAGAAACTAAGATGTAATAGAGCCTAGATGAGAATGTGTGATAATCTAAAGATATCATTTAAGTCAGGGCTTTAAAAATACATGACTTCCAGTAAAAAAGGAAGCCTAGTAAACAAGTTCTTTACAATACACCAAGCATGCTCTAATCCCACATGTATCCTGAGTCCTTAAAAGCAGATTTATAAAAGGCAAATGAAATAGATTTTCAAAATATAATTTTGAAGCACAAAGTAAAATATATTTAATGTTTTAATTGTATGAAATGGGTTGCTTAAACTAATAGCTGGTGCTGGGAATGAAAAAACCTTTGCTAAGATTCTTCTATGAGGAAGCTGGTTTATGGTTTTCTGGAGCTGGTGAACACTCCTGCTTTAGATCATGAGCTCATCATAGGATTGTGATTGTTCCCCCTTTTTTTTTTTTAAACTCCCTGTAGCTGCTTTTACAGTGCTTTGCAAATAGTGGTTGCTTAGTTGAGGTTGACTACCAGCTTATGGTCATTTAAATTCAGACTTAATTTTGTGGCTTGAAAAACAAGAAAAAAATATATGGCTTTTTAAAAATTTTTGTTTTTATTGAATATTGAATAGGCCTGAAGCGATACATCGAGACACTCATTACCTGGCTTAATAAGTAGAATGTTATGAGTTGATTTGGTCCCAGCTCTTCTATACATATGGCTTCATAGGGGATGTAGTCTTCAATAGTTTGCTATTAAAATTTTAAATTGAGGTATAGTTCACATGCCACATAATTCACTCTTTTACATAGGTGTACCTTGAGGTCTTTGGTCCATTTTGAGTTAATTTTTGTATATGGAGTGGGGTCAGGGTACCCATTTGCTCTTTTGCATGTACATATCCATTTGTCCCAGCACCATTTGTTGAAAATACTATTTTTTCCTCATTGTATTATCTGAAGCTTGCTCTTTTTCACTCAACATTTTAATACTGAGATTGATGCATGTAATTATAAGTCATCCATTTCTTTAATGGCTGTATAGTATCCTTTATAGGAATCTGCCATAATGTATCTATCCATTTTTTGTTCCATAATGCATTGGGTTGTTTCCAGAGGTTGCTATTATTAACACTATTGCTGTAAACATACTTGAGCATGTCTCTTACTATATGTGTATGAGAGTTTCTCCTTAGGGTTTATGCCTAGAAGTGTAGAATATGCACATGTTTTCCAAAGTGATTATAATAGTTATAATGCTGTCAGTGATGTATAAGAATTACATTTGGGAAAACTTAGTTTTAAGTGTTCTGTTTGTTTTGTGTCTCTTTAAAAAAAGTCATTACTAAAAAGAAAGAAGTAGTATTTGCAAGTGAAATTTGCCTTTTAGTCCTCTGATATTTTATTAGTAAGAATTATTTTAACCAAACAAAAGGCCAATAGCTACAAAACCTAGTAAGCAATTAGTAT